AAAAAAAAAAAAAAAAAGAAAAGTCCATAAAATTTTATCATGGATACACGTCAATGATAGAATTTCAATTTGTCATACATTATCTTTTTTATCAGCATTCGTACAAAAGGAAACGTGGAGATTAAGGAAATACAATAAAAAAGATTATATTCCTTTTAAGTGAAATACCTTTAATATTCTTTAAAATTTGTTGGTTAACTGTATGATCTAATTGAATTATTACTTATTAATTTAAATTTTTTAATTTAAAATCAAAATTAAAAATTTAAACTTTTATATAATTATGTAACTAACATTTTTAATGTACTAAAAAAAATTATTTAACTTTTTTCTATGGACCCTAAGACAAAGAAGTCGAGAGAGAATCTTATTCTGCCGTAGAAAGAACACTATATGAAATGATTACATATCTACAACTGAATTATATCTTCTTCTTCCTTCCTCTTCTCTTTTTTATTCCCCTCCTTCCTTTTCGATTTCCATCTGGTTTAAACATTTGAACCAAATTAACTATGAAAGCATGACGTGGGGTCAATAATATTGGAATGGGCAACGTGTGACGGTCCCTCTTTTTACCGCACATTTTGTAGCGTGGCTGTTATTTCCAATGGCTTGTAAGTGATTCTTTCGTGTCTTTGCTCCATATACCCTCAACTCGCTGCAAATCTAAAGGGCAAGCAATTAGGTTGTTTCAGAGCACATCTCATTTTGTTATTTCTACCTTGTTGATGTTAATGAAATTCAAAAAGTATAGATAAATTCATTGGTTTTTTTTTTTTTTAATTAAGATCTTTTCATAATTTATTTTTCCATTTTAGATATAGAATTTATCTAATTTGGTATAATAAATGTATTTTTTTATAATTAATTACAAAATAAAACATCTTACTAAAAATTAACATTCATTTTAATACTATTGTTATGTGCATTTATTGAACTATTATGATATTGAATAATTAAGTTAGTAAATCATTGTGATTTATCTAAATAAAAATATGATAATGATTAATTCACAATGGATTTATAAATAGAAGAAATCTCCATCATCTAGCCATAGTTCCGCACTAAATATTTCTTTAAACTAGAATATGAGTGAAATATAGAATAAATCTTGAAGATAAAAATCTTTCGGCCAAAAATTGTATTTTTAGATAGAAAAAAGTGGAAGTTTATTATTTGACATTAAAATTCAAAAAATTTACATCAAGGAAAAATTTGTATGTTTATTTCAACCTTTTCTTATAGTCCAAATGATGATTGTTATATATATTTGAAAACTATATTTAAATTTTATAGTTGATTGTGAATTGAGGAATACATTCAAGGGAGAAAAATCTTTGTATTAAAAATGTTATAACATTTAATAATAATTGCATGATAAATGTGATAAAATTAGATTCTATATTATATTAATTGAACAGGCCAGTTTTAGGGGCCTACCCCCTAAACTTTTTCAAAAGAAATCAATTCAGTCTAGAAACTTTTATTTTTATTATTTCTAACTTTATTTATTTCATAGAATTTTCATTATTTTTTAGTTTTCTTTCTGTTGATAATTACATTTGATGATGAAAAAAAGTGAAAATTAAGGCATTTTGATATTAAAAATGTTTGGACATTTAATTATAATCATTAAATAAATAGAGTATAATATGAGTTTTAATTTTATCAGATTTATTATGTAACTATTATTAGATGTTTTGATATTTCTAATATCAAAATGTCATGATTTTTCCTTTCCCCTTTGATCATAATAAAAAAAGTGAGAGAGGTAAAGATAATATGAAAATGAAGAAAAATAAATATTAATAACAAATGTCTATTATCATTGTTTCACAAAATGTTTGTTTATTGTAATATCTTTTTGCTTTATTATTTTTTTATCAGTATTCGTTTATCCAATTTATATTATTGTTATCTTTTTTTTTTTACTAAACACCCCAATATCAAAAAAGTATATTGGATTTTAATTAATTTAAAGTTGAATTTCATCCAATTTTATAAAGAGAAAAACTTTTTCACTACTTATTTCTTTATTTACAAAAGTCAAATTTATTATTTTTAAAAAAAATTATTGAACTCTTTTCATTCAACAAATAGTTAGTATTATATTTATCTTTCCATTGACTATATTTGTATGTTATCTACTACTATGGTTAGTTATCATTTAAGACTAAGTGATTTTATTTGAAATAAATTTAATTTATTAATTTTTTTATATTTTTATCAACATTTTTTTATTAACACATAATCGCACTTTCTTAATGTATGTTTCTTTTTACCCCCTAATATACTTTTCTGACTCTGCCACCAAAATTGAGTATCCTAACTTTTTTTCAATATCAAAATCTCTCTTTTTCTGTACATTCAATAACGACATCTTTTCTGAACTGGAATTTTAGGTCCATGGTTCATTTTCAAATCATAAAACACTTAGGTTTGTTATTTAGAGTTTCGATCTCTATCAATACCTGAAAAAAATCCATCCTTTAATCAAATTGTAGATTGTTTAAAAAAAAAAGAAACAATAACGACATCTTTCCCGGCAATCATGCGCACAACATACTGGACTCACCTCACCTTCTTATCGCGTTTTCTTTTTATCTTTTTAGTGCACCATGGCCGACATCATTACAGCAGGAAATCATATTTTGAACTTGGTTTCCCATCTATTAAAAAGAAAAGGAAAATATACTTCACCACTGTTGGGTGGTCTTTTGAATTAAGGATGTTTATTTTATACCTAAATTTATATTTTATTATTTAAATTGTATACTAAAAATATAGTTTATTTAATAAACTTATTAAAGTATTTTTATAAAATGATATAAATAATAATTTTATTAAAGATAATTTAATAAATTTATAAAAAAAATTATACTTTTAATACATAATTTATTCTGTCAAACACTTTTTTATATCTATTATATGACTACAATTAGATGCAAATGGCTAGTAATCTTTAACTTTTTATTGTTTACCTCTACCGACAGCCATCTAATTTTTGTGTGGGTTTTAAGTGGCAATAATGTAGTAGATGACCACCTCATCTGATTGGCTAAAGGACCTTCTGAGTGTGTGTCACGCTACAACAGGCATCTCGTAAATGGTTTTTGATTTACTCTGTCGAGTATGGACATAATAAAAAAACAATTGGCGTGTGCATCACGGGAACCATAGGCACTGAGTTTGATTTGGATTGCTATGGGATGTTGGAATATTTGTTAGAGTTCGAGTTCTTGAGGTCGAAGCATAAACAAAAGGTAATTTTATTTAAATATTAGCGATACGATATGACACAAACCCGAAAAATTATGGTTAACCAAAAGCACTATTTAGTGGACATTAACCCACCAATAATCTTAAAATCTATAAAGTAAAGGGTAAAATAGGAGATTAAGCTTATATTGAGTAATTTGATAACAATATTTTTATTGTTTATCATAATTTATAAGTTTTTAAACTTGCCAAAAATTAACCTAATTTAGACATGTTGATCTCTTGTACCGTGTTTGCTTATTAATTTTGAAGCATATAGGATGATAGAATATATTTGTTAAAAACTATTTAACGTTCTCTTCTCTTTTAAAGTGGAATAATTTTAAGACCAACTTTAAGTTGAAATTGTACAATATAATTTAATAATATTTAATTTTTTTAATATGTCTTTCCTTTAATTTCTTTAAAAATATTTTTCATACTTTAATTTCTTCTATAATTCTGTCTCCAACAAAGATCCGTGTGTGTCGACATATTCACCCTGTTTAGAGCAACGTTGAGCTGGTATGAACACAACATATATATTTTAAAGAAAATTCCTGTTCGCAAAGGAAGAAAAAAACATATTAATTGCATTTTGTGGAGAATGAAGAATCTAAAGATTAGCATTTTTTTTAATCGTTCCTTTATATCACATATTAAAAATATTTTTTTAATATTAATTATTATAAAAAAAATCATATTTAATTTTTATTTAATTTATTGTCTAATTAAAGTGATCTATGTGATATAGATAATAAAATTAATATCAACTATTATCATTTTTCATATTAATTAATATAAAAATATATATATTAATTACACTTATAATCTATTTCTTTAAAAAAAATTCATTTTTTTTTATGAGCAAAACCGAGTAACGGGCCTTGATATGACAAGCACAATTAACCAATTTTTATGCGAACAAATGAATGCATATATGCTTCCATGCGCGTTCAACCGATACATATAATACTGTCTCGAGATGCAATGTAAGAAATTGTTGATGGTTTCAACCAATAAAAAGAAGGGAAGAGTGTTTCAAGTCCAATTTACACTATAAATTAGTTAGAGAAAGACTTTTTGTCTCGAACAAAGACCCGTGTATCCTGCATTTTCACATGTTTAAAGCAGACGCCGTGAAAGGAAAATATTGCTTTTGATGAAAGCATCTCTAGACTATGCATTTTTTAAGAGTACAAGAGTGGGCAACCGACCTTGATATACATATTAAACATAGATGAGTGCCATGTCCACTCAGTGTGAGTCTGCTACGCACAAGCACTTTAATTTTTTTATTAGTCTCTTTTTCATCTTTTTATTAAAATAAAACTAGTACACCTAGGCCAATAAAGGCCTGATCGCTGCTTTTCTCTTAAAACATATTCACGTGCTTTGGGGGCAGGTAGAGCCATTGTGAAAAGAAAATATATTGCTTTCGATGAAGATTAAGTATTTAAACACTCATTAGTATACATTTTGATTTAATATATTATATAATATATTCATTTAAAAACATTGTTTTTTGGTATAAAATTAAAAATAAGTAAAGTTAAAGATATAATTTTGTATATAAAATATAAAAATTGATTAAATCATATTTATTTATATTATATTTTAATAATTGAATCAAATTAATATATTAAAAAGTGTATTAAAATGAGTATGTATCAATCATTTTTTAAAGTTTTTTTTAAAGAGTACAAGAATTGATGCTTCACATGCGTTGTAACTTAATTTGAGTAGAACTTGTTGAAAGTTTGGAATCTTTGGATTTGCCATTGTGTTCTTAAACTAATGGTGGATAAAAGTGAGCTTTCCATTCTTCTGGTTATGTCTTCAGTTCGAGTCGCTTCTTCAATACATACCCTTTACTAACAATAAAAATGTAAGCGTTCTGTAGATCACGAAGAATTTTCTCAACACTAGACGGATGGACACAAACAGCAAATGGATATATCCCGAAGAAATAAGAAATTATAACGGTTAATTATTAACGTATATGAGTGTAGCATGTATATATTAATCTAGTAAGTACATCCACATATAATATTTGAGACACCTCTTGAATTGTTAAAGACAACCTTAATGCAATCCTCCCTTCCTTGCCTTGCGTCAAGAAAATTTTGAGGATGTTGCTCGCCTCCAATAGAGACAATAACCATATGCACAACCTACCCTCCACCTCAACAAAACTTAACAGTTGATGTCATTATTTTTTATTTATTTATAATTGAGTGCTCTTAGAGTATCAAAACTTTCATATACCTTAAAACTAATTCATTTCAAAAGGATTTTAATGTGCACCTTCCACATTAATCTAATACATTCAAAAAAAAATTTATTATGTGTCAATCCTAAAGTATATTTGAACACTATTGTCATTGCTTGAGTCCATTTGACAACAATATTTTTATTGTTTATCATAATTTATAAGTTTTTGGACTTGCCAATAACTGACCTCCGATAGATATGTTCATCTCTTGGACGGTGCTTGCTTATTAATTTTGGAACATATAGGATCAGAGAATATATCTTATTGGCTCCCAAAATGCTCTTAGTCAAATTTGGCTTATCCTATACATTTTAGTTTAATTCAATTTGATGTGTACTAAAAGTATTAATTATTCATACATTTCCTTAAAAAAAAATTCCAAGGAGGTGTGGGCCTGTGGTTACCTAGGAGGGACGCCTCCCCATTCCTTCCCTCCTCGTTGGTCCCTTCCATCTATTTTGTACTTCTTTGTCATGACGCACTGCAGGTTTCTCAGCTTATGTCATGAATAGGGCTTTTCTCTTCCCTTAGCAGAACAGATCTTACCTCAATACAAGTGAATCAGTACATGAAATTTAATTACTCTAACTTACATGTTATTAAACTTGTTTATTTTAATTTAATATTGCTAAATTTTTAGCAACCATATTTAAAAATCAAAAACAACAACAAAACTAAACAAAGATTTAGATCATTATAATTTAACAAATAGGTAAACATCCTATCTAAAATTAAGAATTATTTTTATGAGATACGTAAAAACTGATAAAAAATACTATGGTGCTCCAAACTTTAAAATAATAATAATAATAATAAGGAGAAAAAAGAAAAACTTTATTGTGACCTCTCTTGAAATGTTGGTTTGATGGTAGGTCATTAGAAGGTAAAACTCTCAAATCCATCCGTAAAAAATATTGGTAGAAACAAATTCGCCCCTTAAAAAAATAAAGGGACAAAGTGCCCCTTCAAATTATAAATCAATACAAATCATCTCTTTCTTAATGAAAAATGTTAGAATTTTGTTTGCCATGTCAACCGAAAAACATTAAAAAAAGAGTGATTTGTATTTATTTATGATTTAAAGGGGTAATTTGTCCCTTCATTTTTTTGAGGGATGGATGTGTCTCTATCGATATTTTTCAAGGGTAGATTTGAGGTTTCTGCCTCACTAGAAATCCTTTTGGTCTAATGGACCAACCACGCAGAGTATTGGGCTTCAAGAAAGTGGCCCAAAGACTGTCCTACACAGTTTTATTTGTCCCCTGGCCCATGGGCATCGAAGTTCCCAGTCCTCCAGGCCCTTAACTTCTTCACCAATGATTTTGTCCAATTCATGGGCCTTAACAAGGACCCAATCAATTATACCTAATCTAAAACATGTCGCGACCAAAGAGTTCCATGTTTGATCCTTGGAAGTAACTAGAAAAATGGGTCCTCCGCGAGTTGTGCAGTTCATGAAAACTTGTGAATAGTACAAAATTTACTTCAGATTATACCTTTCGTATTAAAGTAAGAAGAGATGATGGAGTATACAGACTTTTTTTCGTAGTAGGAGGATAGACTGTTGTATACTTGGTTGCTCCGTCACTTGAAAAGGTTAATGAAGGCATAAACTCATTTTAGAGGCAATTGAATGCGTTTTTTCAAATCTTAATCTAAGTATCCATCAGAGGCTGCTTACAAAGTAGCTCATATATACTCAAGGCTGTTACTAGCACTGAGATTTTCTACTTATTCTCTTGTGCTAACTTTTTGTAGGTGATGTGCGGTGCAGTTGGGCAACCGCTGCAAAGATCAGTACTAAGGTAAGAAAGCTACAACATTATAATGTGTATACAAACCACTCGAAATTATTTGCTTAGATGATTGATTTGTGGATTTCAAGAGGGTGATGGTTCACATGGCTTCACCTGGATGCATGTACAACAGATATGATATATGGTTGCACGGTTCAGAAATGAAAGACCAATCAGCCTGGTTGTTCTAGATAGATACCACATCTGATCTTTCCAGTTTTAAAGTATTCACTATTTAATATTCAATGGAAATAAATATATTAACGATGTTAATATTTCATTTCTTATATATAAAACTATACACAATCACAAAAAATCGAAGATCAATTCCTCTGTAACTTCGAGTCATACTTCTTTAGAGTTTGAATTATGTTCTTATGCTTATGTTGGATATAAATAAGGTAATAATTTTTTTATTCTTAAGAACAAAAACCATATGTTTTACCCATTAAGTTTAGAAATGTGAAAATGGATTAATTCCTAAAGCTTTGTTTGGGTAGATGATATACACAAGTCCAATTATAGTGGATTACGAAAAGTCCTATAAAGTTAACAACTTGAAATCAGAAAGATAAAAATAAGCTTTTTAAGCTTTGGGGATGCATGGATCAAAAACCGATCTATGTATACAATTCATTGTTCCGAAAAGAACGTTCAAAACATATATTTCTCTCTTTGTGCGCAATTAGTTGGAAAATAATCATATCCAAGATAAATCAAGCAACTAACAAAAATAAAAATAAACACATCTTGTTAAGTGGGAAAATCTCACATCGAGTATAAAAATAAGAAACTTGTGGATTAAATACAAGGAGGGCTACTTCACCTATTGCCAATTGGTTTTAGGTTGGATGCAAGCCTTGTGTTGAGCCCACATGCAGGATTTTCAATATGGTATCAGAGCCCATGTTCTACCTGGGAAGCCCGTTGTTAGCCCACCTGACAGGACCCGAAGTTGATACCGGGCCTGCATTTAAGGGGGCGTGTTAACCCACGTGACAGGACCCGACATTCATAGCGGGCCTGCATGTGAGGGGGCGTGTTAAGTGGGAAAATCCCACATCGAGTATAAAAATAAGAAGCTTGTGGGTTAAATACAAGGAGGGCTACTCCACCTATTGCCAATTGGTTTTAGGTTGGATGCAAGCCTTGTGTTGAGCCCACATGCAAGATTTTCAATACATCTACGCAACCAAAACACCAGATTTTTTAATGAGGAAAGGAGTCAATAAAAAACATTCACTATAAAAATAGCATTATCACAAAGTTTCTTCTACTCTAGGAAACACTATAGAGGTTGTGCACAACAATAAACCATCAAGAGTAAGCTCTTGGGTCACCAATGTCATAGTCATAACCAATATAAAGCTGGAAGTCAAAATCTCTGATAAAATTGGGATAAATCTCACCAAGTGTGCTGTGTACTGAGAGGAATTGGAGACCAAATTACTGTTCATAATTTAGGAGAACCATAACTCCTCTACTGACCTTCTTGCTGCTGTTACAAGTGATCACTCTCACGGTCTCTCTACTGTTTTGACCATGATGATCAAAACCAGCCCCTAACCGTTATTTACAACTCCCTTGACTTGATACATTTAAAGTCCAAGATCCATGCAATTCAGGTGTGCGGAAGAGTTCTCACAACACCAGATGGATGGATACATACATCAACTTAAGAATCTTGAAGAAATAAGAGATTAAAATGATTAGTTAACATATTTGAGTATACAATAAATTAGTCCTCCTACAACTAACAACTCGGATTTAAAAAATTTAAAAATTGTGTAGGTTAAAAGATTAAAATGTGATGATTCACCTTGAAATGATTTGTGCATAATGCTACCTCAAAGCTTTACTCCATCCATCTTCATACATATCCTCGAACTGTCCTTGATTTAGGGAATTGATCAAGGGAAGTTGATAGAAAAAATTAAAGAAAATCCAGGTCCTGCAAAAATGAATTAAAGTTTAGCATTATCTTGATGAAATGATAGAGAATCACTCTAAACAACTGAGGGATGAGAAAGTGAATTCTACCTAACGAGAGACGGTATTCTTTGGAGAGTAAAAGATTATAGCTTTAAGCCTGCAACTACAACAGATTGGTGAACACCACCATTTTTCATGGAGTTGTTAGATCTTGAAGTTGCTTTTTGCAAGTCAGCCCAATGTTAAATAAAGCAGTGGATAATAGACCTGGCAAACGGGTAGGTCAGGTTAGGTTTGAGTTGGATCAATACGGGTTATGAGTTATACAAGTTGGATCACTAACAGGTCATGGGTTGATGAAGATCAACCCTAACCCGACCTTTGCGGGTTATGGGTTAACTTTTGGATTGATATTTTTTTCATTTATCACAATTTGAGCTATAGT